TGTGCGCCTCCTCTCACTTCATATCAGCTGGATGCTTCACTCTCAGCTATAACTCTCTGTGGTATGTCCTTGTCCATAGGATCAAGTGTCCCCACACTTTGGACCAACCAGCCCTTCCTCTTCTCCCTCTCATCTCCATGTCAATGGGAGTCTGTGGAATGTGGCTGAACTCAGCCCATTTCTTCATTGCTGCCTTTCCCCCTCTGCCATTCACCAACAGACCAATGTGATCGCCAGCAAGCTTACATGCCTGCTCATGTGTTGTTTGTTCCCTTTGAGTTTCAGTCTTAGAGGGGGTCTTTCCTGTCTTTTAAATGACTTTTTGCTTTCTTCATATACAAGGAAAAGTCAAAAAATAATGCTACTAGCTTCCAGTTCATATATGCATGAGTTTATTCCAAACATGTGTTGTCACAATCAGTGGGTGGCTGCAGACAAGTTCTCTTCGTGACACACTTGTCTTAGTCTTGTTAGGATGCCTTACAAAAGAGGATACTTCTACGTAATGGATAAAAACCAAAATGATTTAGAGTTCAGAACTAACACAAATTTTACACAAAATTCACGATGCTATCTTCCCAAAACTATGCTGTCCCACATAAAACAACAATTTTTAGAAGGCTCAAACATTTTAAGGAAGACCTCAAGGATAAATCTATGACAGGGAGTCCAGCTCAGAAAGTTGTGATGACCTTTTTGGGATTCCAAATGGTTCATCTTGATAGATTTTCTCAAAGGACACAGGACAATCATTAGAGCTTATTATGAAGAAGTTTTAAGAAAACTGAAAACTACTCTGATTAGAACAAAGTCAGGAAATTTGCACAAAGGAATATTTTCCATCATGACAATGTACTTGCTTCTTTTTCTGAGACATCACAGGCTCCCTGCAAACTTCACCAGGAAATCATACCCATCACCCTGTAGCCGCCATCTTGTCCCTTCAGACTCTTTTAAATACTCAAAAAGCATTTAAAAGGAACATGATTGGTGTTCTTGGAGGATGCCAAAACTGTCATTTTAACATAGAGTGAATAGAAAAACACAGAATTCTTTAGGGAAGTGATAGAAAGATGGGGAAAAAATGGCTTCAGGCATATACAGACCTAAATGGATGAGATGGTGAAAAACAACAGCTTCATATTTTGTTATTTTGTTTAATAAAGGTTTCTAAGAATTTTTAAAACAATCCTTTTTGACTTACTCCTGTAATATGTCCTTAATGTCATCTCACAATTGCATTGATCTTCCATCACCAGTGTCCAATATATCCATTTATTCCTGTGATAGTTTCTAAATTCAGGAAGGATACAATCAAGGCTGTACTATAGCTCTCATGGATTGAATTTTCTTCAGCTTCTACTTTAACTCGCAAACGTGCAATCTACGGTCTGTTCCACAGTTGGCCCTGGCCTTGATCTGACTGATGATACTGAGCTTTTCTATATCATCTTTCCAAAGACGCAGACCATTTGATTCCTGTGGATTCCATCTAATGAAGTCCACGATATTGTAGCCATACATGTTGTTGAACAAAGCTATTTCCAGTGAATAAGTCATTGGTCTTCTACAATTTTATCATGTAATCTCTTGAGTCTATCAATAAGGCTATATTTTGCAACTACTGTTTTTCCTTTGCTTCCATCTCTTGCATTCTAATCACCAGTAATTATCAATACATTCTGATTGCATATTTGATCAATTTCAGACTGTTGTTGTTAGGTGCCATAGAATTGGTACTGACTCACAGGGACCCTATGCACAGCACAACGAAACACTGCCCAATCCTGGGCCAACCTCACAATCGTTTCTATGCCTGAGTCCGTCACTGCTGCCACTGTGTCAACCCATCTCGTTGGGGGTCTTCCTCTTTTTCTCCAACCCTCCACTTTACCAAACACAATATTCTTCTCAGTTACTCGTCCCTCCTGATAATATATCTGAAGTATGAGAGACCAAGTCTGACCATCCAACAGCAGAAGTTGGTAAAAATCTCTAATTTCTTCATCTTTGGTATTAGTGGTTGGTGGGTAAATTTAAGTAACACTTATATAACTGGTGGTCTTGTTGTTGTAAGTACTGTCGAATCGGTTCCAACTCATAGTGACCCTGCATAGGGTTTCCAAGGAGCAGCTGGTGAATTTGAACCACTGACCTTGTGGTTCAAATCAATCTTGTGGGCCAGTGCCTTTATCCTACAGAGCCACACTAGGAATGGGGGACATTATTCTAGCACTAAAAGTGCTGAACTTCAGAACAGATCTTGAACTTGTCGTTGACTATAGACCATTCCACTTCAATTCTGACACTCCCAGAATAGTGGACTAGAAAGGTAGGTTACACAAAATAGAGAAGAGATAAAGTCACTGGCAAAAAGTTATTTTTAAGTTCATGTAACACACACTTACAAGGTGAATAAGCGAGAACTTACTGAGGGTGAGTTAGACTACGCAGGAGCACTCTATGTCGGTTTTAATATCAAATTTAAAGTACACCGATTCACAAAATCACAAAGGTATATTGTGACAAATTATTTTTAATAGCACGCCTTGCAACCTCACCTTTGTAATCTTAAAACTGCCTCCGAAGCTTGAAAAAGAAATTGCAAGCCATGTTTACTGCAAAGTTTCATCACTGACAGCAACAACTGCTATCTTTATCAGGGATTCTTGATCCATTTTTCTTTTTCTTTAATTCTTGTCTTTTCCCGACAAGTGTATCTAACTTACCGTAAGCAGTGACGCTGTGCGGGAGCACTATCGTCTCTCAATCTGTGTTGTAGTCCTGTCATTGCATAACTACCACATCGGGAGCACATGCACTCAGCAGATGTGCCGGGCTGGCATCTGTGTTTGCTTGTCCTACACTTGCTATACAGCTTTGTAGGCCAACATGTGCAGGCCTGAATTTTACAAAAGACCTGTGCATTAAACAGTCTTTCTAATCAATGGCATATTTACATACAGTACATGAACAAAGAGGGCAGACAGAGTCGGATTCTGGTGGTTCACAAAACCAGTTAACCTGGTAACATAAATGATCACATTACTGGTTTCCAATGTGCTACAATGTGGCATTTAGCCTATTTTTAACTCGCATGTTCAGGGTCTTTACAACAGTTTAAAGCAAAAACAGAAGCAAGTCAGGTCCACAAATGCAGAGCCCCTGGAGCAGCTTCTAAGGAGGGGTGCAAATCAGTGACCCCACAATTAAGCCTGTCTGGTGACAATGAGGGGGCCTAAAAAGAGAAAATGACAGGTTTATCAAGTCATCTGTTTTATAGATTTGCTATTGTAAAATCAACTGCAATGTTGCTAAGAAAAATATTTCTAAGATCTCCTTGTTCCACACACACTGCTGTTCACTTAAAGTTGGATGAAACCCATTCTCCAGACCTATTTTTACTGTAACAGAGAGGCTGAAAAATCAAGATTTCTTCTGATTGCTCATAAAGCAGCCATTTTTACCATCTATTTCCATTCTTCTCTGCCCTTTTAAACTTTGACCTAAGAATGTTCATGTCTATTTTTCCCCAGAGTACAGTACTTGGAGTTAGAGCTGCTGATCTGGGCAGTCAGATAATAAAAATCACACCTCTTCTCGGTGGAGGCAGGCCTGAGTTCACTTACTAGCTGTGAAGCCTTGGACAAGATTTTAATCTGTTTCCTCATTTGTAAAATGCAGATATTAACACGATACATCTATCCTCAGAAAGTTGTGGTAAGGAGTCAATCAGTTGAAAAAAGGCAACAGCACATAAAAAGCAATTAGCAAGTGTTTGCTATTATTATTTTCAGATAAAAATTTAAAAGAGCCAAAATCGCTCAAAAACTGATTTAACAAGTTTATATGATAAACTTCATGACAAAACTTGAAGCATATTCCACAAGAAGGAAAGGAATCCGTATTACACACTGTACCATGATTTAGAGCAGTTCACAGAAAATGAAGCAATGACTTTCTTCACAGCTTATAAAAATAAAACAAATCTGGGTAGGCCAAGCGGAACATGACAAGCAAGAATGTGGCTCCTCTGTACAGTTCTAACTATCCCTACGGTAACTGTTTAAAATTCCTGTAAGCATTAAAGAGAAGTCACTTAAAGGCCTTATTCTCCAACTACCCATAGTAAGATGCCAGAAGAGGCGCCCTAGAAGTATTTTCATTCTACAGCACAGGGGGCAGCAGTTTGCAAGTTTACTGGGGAATGGGGGCGGGTGTTGCAAAGGGCAAGGAACAAGAGGGCACTTGAACTATAAACAGAAGTCTGTGAAAAAAGAGAAATTCTTATTCAATTATGATGACTCTATCTCCTCTCAATTAGAAAAACAAAAACAAAAAAACATGAAATTAACGAAGAGCGTCTCTAAGGAACACATTGCCACAAATGCTTTGGGTACCAACGTTCCATCTTAGGACTTGATGCAGGAACGAAGTTCTGGAAAAAGCAATCCTTTCTAAAAGTGCACCTGTGTCGGAACACTGCACAATTCTGATGGGAAGGCAGAACAGGTTCGCCTGAAACAGACCCAGCCTGGCCTGTACGCAGTCTCTCAGACTGGGGAGACAGCGGTGGGCAGCAGGGCAAAGGAGAGGACAGGGATAGAGGATCTGCTTCACGAGTGTCCGGTGGGTCGCTCGAATGGGGGCGGAGGAGGTGCCGTTTTCGCGGGATGCTGATGCTAGGTATTTCAGAGTGGCCACTCTTCAAGAGCCCGTGCCCAGCGGAGGGGGTGGGCAGTTCCCACAGGACAGGGGGTGGCCATGGCAGTCCAACTCCTGCTCTGCAGCCTTCACCCCTGGTGCGCACCCGCAGCCCGCAGCGCCAGCAAGCAGACGCTCGGTGGAGCCCGCGCCGCCGCAGCCCCTGCCCGCGGCGCCTGGACGCGGCTCGCACCACCTGGCGGGAAGGCGCGGCCCCCACGCCCCCTGGGCGCCGACCAAGCTCCGGCTAGGGCGGCACCCGCACCCTGCGATCGGGCGGCAGAGACCACACTCACCTCGCCGCCAGGCAGCGCTCGGGCTCAGGTTCGGACTCGGGTTCCGGCGGCGGCGGCGGTTCCTCCATGGCGGCGGCAGGGGTGACGGCGAAGGCGGGAGGGGGGACCAGCTCGGCGCCGGCTGCTTCTCTCATCCGTGCACGCAGCCCCGCATGGCAGCGGACGGCGGCGGGTTGCAGCCGGGCTCCGGGGAGCACAGCTCCAAACTGCGGAGTGACTCGGCTCCGCCTCCGCCTCTATCCCGCCGCAGGAACCGTTCGCGCCGCGGCCATCTTGAGACGGCGACCAGCCGCGAGCCGGGCTACGGCGGGCGGCGAGGGACACACTGCGCGGGCGGCGGCGGTGGCGGCGGCGGCGGCGGGCGCAGGAATCCGATGGGCGGGGTTGGAGCGAGGGGCGGAGCTACGGGCGGCCAGAGCCAGAATCAGACGTTGGGCCGCGGACAACTGCTTGGGCTGAAGACTAAGGCCTGGGCTGAGGTCTGGCATGGGGTCACTGGTCTTGCTGGTGTCTGGGCTATCTCAGGGCCCTCGAGGTCAGCGTCCAAAGGCAGTGGGTGCAGCGCCCACGCCTGTGCGCGTGAGTGCAGAGTTCTGAAAACTCACCGCGTACATAGTGAGCTTTTTCAGGCTTTGTAAACTTTCGCAAGTGGATTCACGAGCCTAGGTGCAGCCTTCAATGTCCATGTTTCAGAAATAGAAGAAGATGGGCCCCAGGCGGTCACAGACACACTCAGGCATGGAGGTTTTAGGGGAGTGGACCTTCACTTTAAACAGAAACTCATAACTCTCACATCAGCCAGCAGAAAACGAATACTAACCACAAGTATCGCAAGACTGGGTCAAGATCTTCAGAAACTCGGCCTGGAGTACTCCTACACTAGGGAGAAAAAAGTTCCAAAGATGATTTCATACAAATGCCCGTTGAAGTTGTGCTCTGTCATCACCTGCAAGAAGCATTCCAAGTTTCACACTTTTAAGCTGCAAATGTTTCCCAAGTCTCCCATGATTTATGATTTGCAAGGCCAGTTAACTAAAACATAATTAACTTTGCAAATTATGTATTTCTATTCATTCAAGTGTGCTGAATTTTGAAACCTCATTCAGTGGAGCTTTAATACGTAAAGCACGTTTTGAACAAATGTGAGAAAACTGGTCTACAGAAAAAAATTTCAATATGATTGTTATTAAGTGCCGTACAGTTGGTTCCGACTCATGACGACCACGTATACGGCCGGTTAAGGAGCTCTGGTAGCTAGTAGCTTAGTGGTTATGAATCGGGCTGCTAATCTCAAAGCAGTAATTCAAAACTACCAGTTGTACCGCAAGAGAAACATGAGGGTTTCTGCTCCCATAAAGATTACGAATATGATCCTATTTATGTAACAAAATTCATTCAACAAGTACTTATTGAGTATGCATATGTGCCAGAACTGTACTGTACTAATTCCAAACACAGTTCATTAACTCAATTCGACTCATAGTGGTCCAATAGGACAGAATAGAGCTGCCCCGTAGCTGTAAATCTTTACAAAAGCAGTCTGGCACAGCCTTCTCCCCCAGATCAGCTGGTGGATTAGAACTGCCCATCTTTCAGTTAGGTGCCGACTCAATGGCGCTTTATAACAACAATCTTCCAGATAGCAGCTGAGCACTGAATCACTGTGCCATCAGATCTGCCCTCAATATTTTATATGTGAATGCAAAACAACATTACGAACTCTAGCCTTCCTGAGAACCAGCCCAGTGTCTGCTTAATTTCTGTGCCTGGCACTAAGTCACATCTATTGAATGAATGCACAAAAGGACAAATAGCTAATACTTACCTGCATACTTTTTATTGCAATTTGACATTGCAAGATTAAGGAAATAATTTTAACATTCAACTTCTTATGCATTTCCAATTTTACATCTATCCAATCATTGTTTCATTATTTAATTAATTGTCAACATTTTTGTATGTTGTTGTTGCCAGCCCAGTTCTGAGTGATAGCGACCCTATGCACCACAGAACAAAACAGTGCCTGGTCCTGAGGCGGCGGCATCTTCACGATTATTTGGCTTGAGACCATTGGTGGTGTTGTTATGTTCTGACCCATAGCGACCCTGTACAGGGTTTCCGAGGCTGTAAATCTTTATGGGAGCAGAAAACCTCATCTTTCTCCCGCAGAACAACTGATAGTTTCGAACTGCTGACCTTGCGGTTCGCAGCCCGATTCGTAACCACTACGCTATCAGAGCTCCTTTGGTGTGTTGGTGTTGTTGTTGTTGTTAAGTGCCGTTGAGTCGGTTCCGACCCATAGTGACCCTGTACAGGGTTTCCGAGTCTGTAAATCTTTACGGGATCAGAAAGCCTCATCTTTCTCCCGCGCAACAGCTGGTAGTTTCGAACTGCTGACCTTAAGGTTCGTATCCCGATTCGTAACCACTACGCTAACCAGAGCTCCTTTGGTGTAGACACTGTCAAATGATCTCACTGGGGGGAGAGGAGCCTTCCTCTTTTTCATTGACCCTCTTCTTTATCAAGCAGGATGTCTTTTCTCCAGGGGCTGGTCACACCTGATACCACGTCCAAAGTACTTGAGACCAAGTCACCTATTCTTCATGTCTAAGTCTAAGGAGACTTCTGGCTGTACTTCTAAGGCAGAATTGGTTGTTTCCCTGGCTGTCCCGTGGTACTTTCTTTATTCTTCACCAACAGCACAATTCAAATGCATCAAATTTTTGTGATCTTCCTTATTCATTGGCCAACTTTCATATTGCATATGAGGCCACTGAAAATACTATAGCTTGGGTCAGGTGCACCTTCATTATCAAAGTGACATCTTTGCTCTTCAACAACTCTATGGCACCGAACAACAACAGTAATAATCATAATGATATTGTTTAATAATTTCTACATTCTGTGGGGTCACCTTTGTTTGGACACAAATATGGATCTTTTCCAGGCATTTGTCTCTTCCAAATTTCTTGGCATAAACTAGTGAGTGCTTTCATGCCTACATCATCAGATTATTGAATTACATTCAAGAATGTTTGCAAACTGAGACATTCTTGTTTATAATGCAATACATAAGCATTCATGATAATAATTTTCTTTAGAATCGTTTTATGGCCAAACCACATAACTTTATTCTTACTAGTTCCCTTGAAGTGTTTTAATTTTGGGGTTAAGTCATTGTTCACAATTCCTGAAGACAGTTGAAGCCTGGCACCCATCCTCAGGCTACCAAGCTTTTAAATTCTTTGATATTTGCAACTGATAACATTTCTACATCAGTCCTTTTTGTTGTTTATGTTCTCCTCCTATTCTGTGCCACTTAATTTCAGCAATTCATTACTGAAGATCACAATACCTGATCAAGCCCCCTAGCAGCTCACCCCAATCCCCAGGCCCCCAACAGCTGCTCCTGTTTCCTCGCACATCTTGCCACATGTGACTCTTTGACTCTCAGCTGTACCTGCTGTTTAGGGGGTCTCCCCTTGGCCCCTAGGGCAAGAATGAGATGTTGGTGTCTGGCTGCTAATGATTGGCACCCATTCAAATGATTGTTTCAAACAAACAAACAAACAAAAAAGAGTTGTTCAAAAGGAATAAACTGACATTATTGCAATTAAAAATTATATGTAAAAGCAGGGTTACAAATTTATTTCCATATGAAGAAATGTCCCTAGACAAAGTGCTTCCCAATTTTCTGTGATTCTAGTTCTTTGCACTGTTCTGAGCCAGAACTGTTCTTGGAAGGTAGATGAGAGGGTTTAAACATTATATAATCAGATGACTCCCTCTTCTCTGAACAACAAGATGCTGTGTATTGCTTGGTCTGGGTCTTGTAGCTACGTGTGACTACCAACTGTGAGCTGGCTAACGTGTACACACATGCACCTGAGTCACAGAATCACTCTGCAAACAGATCAGCATTTAGTAGAAGTGACGTTTCTTAAACGTCCACATGGGGTTACTCTCCCATTTGGCAGAAACCAAACAAATGTACAGCCTACTAATCAGGCAAGGGGGGTCCTGGTGTGGGCTGTGGGTTACTGAGCTGGACTGCAAAGTTGTTTGAACTGCAAGGTCAGCAGATCTAGCTCACCAGCCACTCCTGGGAAGCCCTATGCTGGATGGCTATGGGTCAGAACTGACTCAACAGCACTTAACCACAACAACAATCAGGTAAGGGGACTCCTGGTGTGGCGCTGTAGGATATGCACTAGGATAGGAACCACAAGGTCGGCAGTTCAAACCTACCAGCTGCTCCTCAGAAACGCCATACCCTAATTGCTATGGGTTGCTATGAGTCTGAATCACCTTAATGGCACTTAACAACAACAATCAGGTATGGTAGGACTGTAGCTGTCTAGGATAAGCAATGGACTGCTAACCACAAAGTCTGCAGTTTGAACCCACCAACCACTCTTAAGGAGAAAGATGAGACTTTCTGTTCTCACAAAGATACACAACCTTGGAACCCCTATATAGGGTCGCTATGAATCAGAACTGATAACAACATTTCACAACAACAATCAGGTAAGGTGTAACATGTAGGAACCTAAATTAACTTGTATCAACTGTGCAGTTTAAATGCAGTGATTTGTTAATCCCACCCCTATCCTGGTGCGGATGGGGTTTATCTGTCTGACCAAGTCCACCTCTGTTTTCCACTATCCACCACAGGGTCTCCTCCTAGGGTCTCCACCTCAGGGTCTCCTCCTCGGGGTCTCCTCCCCCTCGGGGTCTCCTCCTCGGGGTCTCCACGGCTTCCTCCAGACCTCCCAGCAGCTATACCCAACCAGGAGATTCTTTTCTGTTTCTCTACTAAATGACTTTATTCTCACTCCAAACCCAAACCCACTGTCATGGGCTCCATTGTGACTTATAGTGACCCTGTATAGGGTTTATTGTGGTTGTGAAGTGCCATAGAGTCAGTTCCAACTCATAGCAACCCTGGGTTTCCAAAGAAGCAGCTGGTAGGTTTGAACCAACGACCTTGCGGTTAGCAGTCCAGTGCTTATCATATAGCAGCACAACAAGACTCCCCTAGGGTTTATGAGACTAGAAATCTTTAAGGAGCAGACTGCCTCATCTATCCCCTGAAGAAGAGCTGACCCATCTACCTTGTGGTTAGCAGCCTATCGCTTAAGCCACAGCACCACCAGGGTCCTTTTGTTCTCCTTAGAGTACTTGAGACAGATGAGTATGTCTGCACCGGAAGGATTTATAGCCTCAGAAACCCCACCCCACCCCCGATTTTTAGACTACTTGAGCCAGGAGCTGTGCTTCATCATATATCATGTGACAAGGTCTAACACATAGGAGGAACACAGTAAATACTGATAAATTCATGATGTATGTATTCTTAAAACATAGTTGTTGTTGTTGTTGTTAGGTACCATTGAGTTGGGACCAACCCATAGCAACCCTATGCACAACAGAACGAAACACTGCCCAGTCCTCACTACTGTTGCCACACTTGAGCCCATTGACGCTA